AAATTTCATCCCAGCAACGCTTGCTGTTTTTAAGGTACAGCAAGTTTAAGTCTGATTGGTGGTGGTTATTTATGGCTTGGAAGCTTATACATATTTTAGGCAAATAAAGCAAAAAAATAGCAGCCTAAGCTGAAACTTATCAAGTTAAAAAAAATCATTCCTAGTCTTAATGTGAGACTGGTTACCAGAAATCGATTCGTTCTATTGTAAAAACGACAAGAGTAGTTTGTATGGGGTTTGAAGCAGGATAAGGCAGGATTATAGCATCCAAACAGGAACTTGTTTCAGCCATTCTGCTGCCATTGTGTTGCTATGTGTGACGTCACCAATCAGACTTAAACTTGCTGTATCTTAAAAACAGCAAGTGTTGCTGCGATGAAATTTAGAGCAGGATGCAACAGGTATATAGCAGCGCAAGCAGAAACAAGTTTTGGCGATCCTGCTTTTCATGTGTTGCCAACTGGGAAGTCAGAAACCAAAATAAAAGTAAGGATAGCTCAAAATTGGTAGGTGTGGCTGGGTTGGGATTTGACGCAGGATAAAGCAGGATCGAAGCAGCCCAAGCAGGATCGTATTTTATAATTCCTGCTTTCAATGAGTTGCTAACTTCCCCGATATATTTTTTAGGACTTACGGAGGACCTAGGAAAATCAAAGATAGATTTAAGTAAGAACACTCTTAGGATTGTGTTTAACAGGACACCTCAGTGGCGAATGCAGATTCCGTGGGGAAAACGGGGAAACATCCGAACATCTCATCACTGAGTGCGCCGGGACGATAATAATAATGAGTGCGCCGAACTGATATCGAAGGTGGAGAATTAACTTCTGTAAAACCGTCTCAAATACTGGCTTTTGTCAAAGCCCTGAGACTGTTTGCTAAGTTATAACTTAAGAAAGGGGGACACAATAGATCTGTAAGATCGCGGTGATTAACTTCCCCCTCCGATGTACTGTACTATACGAAACATGCACAATAACCATGTTAGCATCATCAACAGATGATTAAAACTACAAATTTTACCTCCCTGTATCTTAAAAATTAAGAGGTTTGGGACATAAATTCATATAAAGTTTTTTTCTTAAAATTTGTCCAAATGAGAATGTCATTAAGGAACCTCCTGTATATAACACTAACCTAAAAAAATTATGCATAATTCAAAAATAAAAAAAATATAGATGGCGTTTTATTTAAACTAATCAAATTGACAGCGACTTCCGATTAAATAGGAAGTATCATAAAAGTAAAAAAATATTAAAAAAAAAACAGCTATAGTTCATACCAAATAAACTTTTAGTCACGTGATTAAGCTTGGCCGGCACAGCGTTGCCCACTTTTACATATTTTCTTTTAATCAAAATATTTTAGGAAACAAATAAATTAAGTATAAATATATAAACAGTTATTATTTACATCAACAAAACTCACCTTCTTAACAGCACTTAAGGAACATAAAGGGCCATTACTACCGCGTTCCCGTTCAAAATATTCTAATAAAGTTGCGATGATTTTTTTACGGCTATCTTGTACATTTCGTAATAAAAGAGGTTCTAAAAAGAACAATGTTCGACTGCAAGGTCTGCTAGTAAACATTTTTAAGCTTAAAGTATCACAACACTATTTATTTAAACCAAAAACTCGTAATACAAAACTAAAATGTCTAAACGAATGACAATATCAGGAAATAAATAAATAAATGTGGCAACTTGACATTTTTTACAGCAGAGCTACAACCTGAATCTCCAGCGGGAAATTTAAATTCCAGTTATTCAGTCTGGCAACAATGAATCTAAAAATCGCGTCCTCGAGTACGTAACTAAAAAGTTTAATTGATATCAAATATAGAAGGGCATTATCTTGAAACATTCAAATCTGTAGCTAAATTAGATTCTAAAATATAGGTACTTTTAATAAAACTGTTGCTTGAAAAACCCCCTGTAACTTCAAGGAAAAACACACGAAAATTATATTTTACACATAATTCTAAAATAAAAAAAAATAAAATCCTTTCATTGAATATGGATATGTTTAGTTTCTTTTAAAAACCTTTATAAATTATAAATTGTGATTTTACTAAAATAATTCTGTTAATACTTCGACTTCAGCCTTAAATCCACGATCAATTATACAACGTTCTCTGTCTAGTTCGTTCTAATATATAGCTCCGTCCTTCTCCGCCTGCATGTACACTTGTCAGACCAAGAAATTACTTTGGTCACGCTCCGTTGGCTCTCAACAATGGGCCTGAACCTATGAAACACACATGAACAATCGAAATTATAGAAATTCTGCGGTGTGCGATTATTTAAAAGTTCCTATAGACAGCTTTGATTATTTTCAGCATATTTGTTCAATTCGTTTTTTTTTCTTAGTCTATATTCTATTACCTAAAACTAATACAGGGTGTACCAAAATTCCGTGGACGTAGAACTAGTACGTATTTTTAGAATCAAAATAAGTTAATCGGACTCAATTAACCTCTAGTCAAAAGTGCCTTGTTTGTCCGTTAGAGGGCATCAATCAAAGAAGAAGCTGAACGTGAATTATTTTGAAATTTAGCTTATTGTCAAAGATCATTTTTGAAACGTAATATTCCACATTTTTATTACAGGGTGGTCCGAACTGTAATAAAAAAGTTCGTATAAATGCATGTCCTAAAATGTTTAGTTTTTGGAGATACAGGGTGTAGAAGTTTCATTTGTATTTCGATTTTTCCAAATAATTTTAAATCTGAAGTAACGTCAATATTTGGATGAAAAGTGGTTTCTGGGAGTTTTTTGACGCGGCAGATTTGATTTTGATGTGAAAATGGCTCCTATTTGTAGGGCGCCACCTACATGCGTCTTGACTGTTTTGACGAGTAATAACTTTTCGTCCGTACCCGTATAAAACTACTGAGTGAAAAAATACATACATCTCCGTGACTTTTTACGTAAATAATGTCTCTTGGTAAAAATCATGACAACCGTTCTCAAGATAAGATATTTAGAATGGAAATAGTCAATACATGTTATTATTGACAAAAATAAAGCTTACATTGAGTAGATAGTTATTTGATTTGGGAAATTTTAATTTTTTTAAATTAATCATAAACACAAAACAGTTTCTGTTGAACTTTTGGCACAAAAACATTTGAAATTTATGATTTCAGTCGAATAACTATTTAGTGTTAACATGTTAATTTATGTTATGACAGAATGACAGGTATTGATAAATTCGATTCCAAATATCTCAAGAACAATTACTTGTAGCGATTTTTACCAGAAAACCTTTTTTACGTAAAAACGTCATCTTATATTATAAAAGTACGAACGAAAAGTTATTACTCTTCAAACCAGTTAAAAATATGTAACTGGCGTCCTCTACAAGTAGGAGTCATACTCTACAAGTAGGGTCATAAATTGCTCATGTCCGCCAAGACGCAATTTTCATCAAATACTTCAGAAACCAATGTAATGAAATCA